TCACCTTAAATCTGAATACCATTGTTCTTGAAATCTCTCATGCCCTTGTGCAATCTTACTAACTCATAACTATGGTTCTTAGAGATTTCATATCTTCTTGCATGGCTTCAATATATTGATCCCTGAGATCATATTCCATGGACTCTTCATAACATTCTGGTTCTACCCCAACAGTGAGTAACACATACTCATTGGATGAATAATGGGAGTAAGGACTTTGTTGTCTTGCGGACCTCCTAAGTGGAATATTTTATTCATCCACAAATTCATGAGATAGAGGATCATAAATAATTACATCATTGATACTATCGTCATCAACATGTTGATCCGATACATGATACTGGGCATCACCATTTTCATCAAGCCTAACAACATCACATACACTTGTATGACAAAATTTACCAAGATGAACTATGACATCAAAACTTAAAGATTCTAGCCTCTCTACTTTATCAATATCTTCAAATAGTTTGATTATCTACGAAAATTGTATCATGACTTCTAACAAATTTTTTTCTCAATAGGATCATATAAACTATAATCAAATTCATCAAGTCCATGTACAATGAAGATTCATTGCCTTGTCTTGGTATCTAACTTTGACCTCTCATCTTTCGACACATATACAAAAGCTTTGCAAGCAAATACTCTCAAATAGACATAGGAAACATCATTTCCATACCAAACTCTATTTGGAACATCACTTTGCAAACCAACAACAAGAGATAAATTAATAACATGTATAGAGGTCAATAAAGTCTCACTCCAAAAGGAGTTTGACAACTTTGTCGAATGCAAACATCTAACTCTTTCCATCAAGGTCATGTTCATCCTCTTAGAAAAACCATTAAGCTTAGGAGTCTTCTATGTTTAATACCTTGTGCTTGTAGTATTTGTCAAATGCTCCACAATATTCACCATTGTTATGGATACATTTTAGTTTCTTTCTAGTTTTCTTTCAACTAAAGCCTAAAACTACTTGAAGACACATAACACTTTGTCTTTAGTCTTAAAACATAAACCCAAAGATTTTTCGAGAAGTAATAAATCTAAGTTACAAACTAGAGTGTACCACTCAATTCCTGACCTTCTTAGGACCACAAAAGTCAGAGTGCATCAATTTAAGCAACTCTTTTTTCTTGAATGAAGGTTAGACATAAAAATAAACTCTGTTTTGTTTACCAGCCAAGTGTTGCTCAAATTTTTCTATTTAGCACTTTGGCAATCTAACAATAGTTTCTTCTGGGCTAGAATATCAAGTACTTTCTCGCTTATGTCGCTAAGACTCTTGTGCCACAACAGTGAATATTTATCGCTCTCGTATTCACCATATAAAAACAAGTAGAAGTTGTAGTCTAGTATAGACCACATAGTTTGTTTCCACAAGACACAATCAAGGAACCCTTAATGAGCTTCCATTCCCCATTACCATTGGTACTAACAAATCCACCCTTACCAAAAACACCAACAGAAAGTAGACGAACACCATGTGCATGTTTCACATTATTCAAAGCTAGTTTAGTTCAAACACTAGTTTCCAAACAAATTGTACCAATACCAATCACCCTAGATAAAGTTTCATATCCCATACTCAAGGTTCCAAAATCACCAAGAGTATAGGAAGAGAAAAAAAACCTTCCTTGATGTCACGTGAGATGCGGCACTAATTGTCCTCAACCCAACTTGACTCATCACAAACAATATTTATCATATACATATCAAGGATAGTAACAAAATCTTCGGTAGTGACGGTGACTAGGAAATTTTCAATATCATGTTCGTCAAACTTGATTCTTTGTCATCGAATAACCATCATGATATTTTTGACATAGAATCTGCTTTATCATGAAATTCATATTATTTCCAATCATTCGAGGATACAAACTTTTAACATGATCCCATAAGATACGACTATGTTTCTCCAGAAATATGGTTCAATACATCATCATCAACTTATTGCCTAATAACTCTACAAACCTGACAGTGCAACAATTTCTACTTTTCTTCTATTTTATTCAATCATTACCGTGGAAAAGAATGGTTGATGAAAATAATTGACATAAAATAAATCTTCCATTTTTCTCTTGCAAATGACATAATTAACGCCACTCAAAGTGACCATTCCACTTGTGCTGACTTCCATCGTTTTCCCCAAAAATATATAGCTATTGCAAATCAAAGTAAATTTTTTCTAATGTGAAATTTAAAATTGTGTATCAATCATAGAGCATACTCAGATAAAACCTGACTCTAATATCAGTTTGTTAGGAAAACACGACTAACTAATTAGAGAAAATGGAAAAACAATGATACCAAGAATTTTACGTGGAAACATTTTTGTAATAAGGTAAAAACCATGAGCCAAGAGGAGAATAAATCCAAGTTGAGTTTTCCAAATATTGAATTTGTGTTTGTTGGAAAGAGATAATATAAATCACCACAAATTTATTGAGAAAATCCCATTGGCTAAAGGCCTGCAGTTCAAAAAAGGTGTGCACCTACGCATCAGAGGTGGCAGCTTTTCTGACAGCTGTCTCGTCACCTTTTTATATCGCAGTATTGTAAGGACCGGGCCCCTTGGAAATTTCTTTGTGAGTTCTTGAAAAGGTTTACTGCTGACTTCCTTCTTAGGATAAATGAATTTAATATGGATTTTTGTCATTGAAAATATCAAGCATAAAGAGTCATTGACCGTTGGACAAACAATTGCGCCCATTCTGATTGGTGTAGTACGCTAACGCCTCACCAACCTCTGATATGTAAGCTTTACAGTTGTTCCCAATAAAGATCTGGACGAGTGAACTCAGACAGGGATCAGGTCCCTTAATTTGTGAGGACTATCAAATCACCTACAATATAACATTATCCCCCTTTTTGATAATAGCACACAAATACACCTCATGCTGAGTTTATCGTTCATTTTATTATCAGCAGTCCCAATAACAAGGATCTTGTTCCTTGTTAGATGGTTAAGTTTGTTAAATCATCAAAAATTAATATCAACTCTGAACTAACAACTACAACATTGTATTTTTCTCTTCTCTTTCAGATAAGAAAAAGCCAATTCTCCATCAATTTTCAACAACTTCCAATGGATTTCAAAGGATTTGGAGGCCAATACAAGCAAGGTAGACGACTAAAGTTTTGATGATTCTCAAGAGTTATTGTATGTAGAGGATAAGGGACAGAAGAGAGGATGTGGCTACAGGTTAGGTTTGCTGGATTTCACTGGGCCTTGGGGTTTGGTTCACACATCTGGGATTTAGGTAATGAGGAAGAAGATGATGGTGGATTGGTGGGTTGTCTCATTTGTATTGTGTCGTTGTACGCATCATTGGATGAATTTTTGTGTATTAGGTCGGTTAATATTGAAATTAAGAGTGGGCAGAGTTGTGGTTGGATTGTAATGTCGTTTACTGATGAGGAAAAACAAAAAAATTGGTTCAAGTTGGAGGACAAATGTATTTAAAATTGCAACTAAAAAAATGGCCAATTAAAATTTCAATCACAACTAATTTACATAAAAAAATTTGGCCAAATTGAATTTACTAGTGAATTGGGTTAAAACTTAAATGCGCCGAATTAATATATATAACTAGAGAGCTTCTAAATCTCAATCAAATAAAATCATTAACTTAATTATAAACTAATTAAGTTAAAATATAAACTATTAATTATCTAAACTAATTAACCTAATATTTAAGTAAAACTAAAAAAAATTGAGACAATTTTTGAATATTCATAAAATGCACTCAATTATATAAAAATGTATATATCATTCAAAACGAATTATAAAACCAAAAAAAATACAAAAAAACATCTTGAAAATATTTTGAGTTTTATAAAAACTTATTACTTTAAATCATTCGACATTTAAGAAGCTCGAAGCTTTTGTTGTACGAAAGCTTAGCCAGTATATGCATGAACCTAAGGCATCCTATATGAAGGCTAGAAGTGTCACGAAATACTCGTTTCATAAGGTCCATAAATGTAGCTGGTGCATTAGTGAGACCAAATGAAATGACTAGGAGCTCATAATGACCATAACATGTACGAAAGGTTGTATTTGGGATATATTCATCCCTAATCCAAAGCTGATGATACACAGAACGAAGGTCAATCTTCGAGAAGAAACTAGACCCGTGGAGATGATTAAATAAGTTATCTATTCTAAGAAGTTGATACTTGTTCTTTATAGTGACTTTGTTGTGCTGCCGATAATCGATACACATCCTAAAGGTTCCATCTTTCTTTTTCACAAACAACACTGGATCACCCCAAGGGGATATGCTCGGCTGGATGAAGCCCTTACTAGTGAGATCTTTTAACTGCAGCTTCAACTCTTTGAGTTCACCTGGAGCCATTCTGTAGGGAGGAATTGGAATTGGTTTGGTATCGGGATCTAGGTCGATCCCAAAATCAATCTCTCGAAGGGGAGGGACTCCAGGAAAATCATCTGAGAAAACATCTTGGAACTCATTCACTACAGACACAGAGTCTATGGAAGGAATGTCATGATCTAGATCATTGACACCTACAAGATGGCATAACAATCTCTTGGACATCATTTTATTAGCTCTTAGGTTCGAAATCATGGGACTTGAACGACTCAAATTGTACCCCTCTCAGACCAGCATTACTTCATTAAGGAAACGAAATGTCACAACCCTACTACAACAATTTATGAAGTCATAACATTTATGGAGCCAGTCCATACCAAGTATAATGTGGAAGTCATTCATGGGTAACTCAAGAAGGTCTTCACTCATAGTATTTCCACATAATACTATTGGGCAGTCCTTATGAACCCTATCAGCTCTTACATTTTCTCCTAACGAAGTAGTAAGTATGATGGGATCATGCAAAACCTCAGGTAGTGTTTTTAAAGTAAGAGCAAGAAAGGGAGTCACGAAATGAAGTGTAGACCCTGGATGAAGTAAAGCATAAACAGAGGTTGAGAAAACTTGCAGCATACTTGTGACACAATCAGCAGACTTCTTTCACTCCTCCCTGCCCTTCAAGGCGTAGAATCTATTCCTCTTAGGAGGCTCGGCTGCAGCAACATTTTGGGGATTAGGCCTAGGCTGAGCATTACCTCCATCCTGACCTCTATTTTGTGGACAGTCCCTGACCATATGTCGGTTCTTCCTGCAACCGAAGCAGGAATTTGTGCCTAGTCTGCACTCTCCACTGTGAATACGACCACACTTGCCATATTTGTTTCTGGGAAGCTTCACATCACCTCTATTGCCCTTCTTTTGTTCGCGTTTGCCTCCTCTAGGTGTTGCACTCCTCTGAGAGTAACGGTTCCCTAAAATCTGATGCCCTTTCTTAAAATCTGGGCTGTTCACGAACTCCGAAAGTGCTCCTTCCACCACCACTGCTGGGACTTGTCTGGTCAGCAAGATTAGGCCTCCTGACCTCATGGACTCTCCTCTTCTTCCTACTGTCCTCAACCTGCTTGACATGCACCATCATCCTAAACAAGTCCATGCTGTCATGAAGAATCGCAACCCGACACTGCTCCTCCAAGTCCTCTGAGATTCCTATAAGGAACCTGCTCATCTCGTCCCTGATGTTTGACACAAGGGAAGGGGCATACCTAGACAATTTTATGAATTTCAAGGAATACTCTCTAATAGTCATTGAGCCGTGCTTAAGGTTGATGAACTCCTCAAACTTAGCCTCTCTCATCTCTCTGGGGAAGAACCTCTCAAGAAAGGCTATCTTAAACAACTCCCATGTGATCAAACCTCCACCCAACGCCCTGCTATCCTGTCGTATCTTGCACCAAGCTTGTAAAACCTCCTTCAGCTGGTACGAAGCCAGCTCAGCTTTCTCAATCTCTATGTCCCCCATTGCCACCAGAATTTTTTGGACCTCCTCCACCAACTCTTGAGGATCCTCTAAAGTCTTAGATCCTATAAAGATTGGCAGATTCATCCTTGTAAAATCTCACAACCTGTTCGCCATGTTGTGGGCCGGTGGGTTCTCCCGATGAACCTCATGTCTGTTGGCCTGGGATTTCATTGCTTGAGCCTTCACAGTGATGGCTTGAGCCATCTGTCCCAAAGAGGTCCGCACCTCTGCATCAGTCAACCTAGCTGGGTTAACTGAAATGGCCACTCTTGCAGCTGGAGCCTGGGGCGGAACTTGGTTTCCCCCAGCAGCTGCTCCTACTTTTCATAATAGCCTCTTATCATGTTGTCACCACATTCATTAACTTTAACATATTAGATCTTCATAATTACTCACCTCGTTACGTGAATGTTCATTTTGTCATATGCCAATGCACTTAGCCTTTTAGTGGGTTTCACACTCTTACTTAACCCTGACTAGGGTCACATCATTTCGTCACATATATCCTAGGTTCACTTATTTTTAAACGTACACTGGACTTATGAACTCATACGTACATGCCATGAGATTTCATTCATAATTCGTCTAAGTGACTCACACTTGCCCAAGATTATGTGGTACAAGACTTATGCATCTTGTAACTATGCCAAGGTCTCGAGTTTGATCCCTATGGGCAGCATTCATTCAATATTTATTCACGTAAAAATTATGTATCAATAGGGAGTTGGTCAAGGGAACCCGATTTCAAATCCCTTGAGCAACACTTAGTTTTGTATTAATTTTGAATTAAAATTTTGGTATTGGGGGACCCAAGGTCGATCCCCAAAACCTACACTCCCCCCCCCTTTTTTTCTCTCTTTTTTCGTTTGAGACCAAGAGGGTGTGGGATCGATTCTCCACAACCTCATTTTATTTGTTATTTAGATTTTCTCGTAATTTTCTCACCTATCCGAGAGGTTGTGGGTTCGATCCCCACCCATCTCATTTTTATTTATTTTTATTCTTGCATGGACTAATCTTAATTTCGGCCAAGGACACACGGGCTCGAACCCCATGTGCCTCATTTCTTTTAACTTATTTTCTAAGTTCTCTTACTCGGATAAGACCCATGTTCGACTCCTCCTAACCTCACTTTTATTATAAATTTTAAGTAGCTTGCATATGGTGAGGTCTTGGGTTCAATCCCTAATGACATCACACCTAAAAAAATTTTAAAAAACTTCAGCAATGCTTAGCCGAGACCAAATTTCTAGATTTTTGGAAATTTGGTCATCGTTTCCAGTCCATTTTTCTCAATCCTTTGTACGTTAGATATTTATGACAGTTCTCTGGACATTTCTTTTGTTATTACATGCATTTTTCCAAGAAATTTCATACAAAAACACAAGGATTAAACATACCATTTTCATACTCCAATTTGTACCATTTTCATGCTCCAACACGAGACCAAGAGACACGGCCACACACACACATTGCACTCGTTTATCATCACATAGTTATTGAACATACATACATGAAAATAATCATCACGAAAACACGTTACGTTCCTAAATTCTACCAGCAAACATACCCAACCTAAAACAATCGATAGGAGCTACTGACAAGGACATGCAAAGGGGAACCATCCTAGTTTTCGGATTAGAATTGGACTGAATCTTAGGGGTCTCTTGGGAAAGGGACCAAGAGTAAGAAAACCCTACCATTTTCTTCGTTTAACACCTTTCAAACCTGATCTCAAGAGCTGCCAAATCCCATGAAAAATAATGCTTCTCTAACGAAACCTCACGCGCAAACCGTTTAAAAAATGTTTTATCTTTTCGTTTTTAGTTTAGTTTTTCTTTTGTGTTTTAGCGTACAAGTTCTCATGAGTGATGAAATTTTTTTTGATTGTTTTTTTTCTGTTTATAGATCATGAGCGTGAGAAAGAGAGTGGAGAGATGTGAGAGTAAGTTTAGGATTAGGAGTTTTAATTGAAGACTTAGTCAAACTAGGACTTTTTTAAATTAAAAAATATGATTTTTCATTACTTAAATCAGCAAATTAAATACCAATTAAATCAACTTGATATTGCTTCCACCAAGGGTCGAACCTGGGTGGAGCTCATCTCGCGAAAATGGGTCAATTCAAGTCAACCCTACCTGAATTGTCCCCTATATTAGTTAATTAATTAATTAATTAAATACTTAGGGTAAATACAATAAAACCCCTAGACTGGAAAGACCATTTTACCCGTAGACCTCCAAACCTAATATTACCCCTTTCAAGTACGGTTAAGACTCATCCGGGTGAATCTTAATATTCAGGTGCCCTATATGGCGGGACCCAACCTTGCCTAGTCAACTAACTCACCAAGTTGGTTGCCTTTGCAGGTACATGGGTTTAGAGGTATGGTTCCACGCGCATCAATCTATGTGAATTTAGTATAATCTAGACATTACTTAGCGTAGTCATTTTAAGGTTGTTACATTATCCCCCCCTTAGGAACATTCATCCCCGAATGACACTTTTATTTATCTAGCACAATTCCAGTCATAGCATAACATGAGTACTATACACAGTCAAGCAATAGCAACAAAGAATAGAGGAGATAAGGAAACTTAGACTTAAGAGTGGGAAGTCTAACCTCAAGAGCTGAAAAGTTGAGGATAGCGGGATTTCATATCGGCCTCGGCCTCCCACAAAGCACCCTCAACAAGATGGTTCCTTCACAATACCTTCACTGTGGCAACCTCCTTGTTTCTCAGTCGCTTCACCTGCCAGCCTAAAATCTCAATAGGAACTTCCTCATAGGACAAGTCTTCATAAACCCCCAAAGCTTCAACAGGCAGAATCGATGCTGGATCGCCAAGGCACTTCTTTAACATAGAGACATGAAAGACTGGATGAATAGAAGCTATCTCCGCAGGCAACGCCAACTCATAGGCTACCTCACCCATATGTTGTAGAATCTCGTATGTCCCAACGTACCTCGGATACAACTTCCCCTTATTTCCAAACCTCATCACCCCCTTTATTGGTGAGATCTTCAAGTAGACCTGGTCACCAGCATCAAACTCTAAGGGTCTATTCCTGTTATCTGCATAAGACTTCTGTCAACTGTAAGTAGTAGCCAACGTGTCCCTAATCACCCTGACCTTCTCTAAGGATTCATGAATGATCTCTGGACCAAAAATGGATGACTCTCCAACCTCGAACCACCCAACTGCATACCTACACCTCCTATAATACATTGCCTCAAACGATGCCATCCTAATGCTGGAGTGATAGTTGTTATTTTACGAGAACTCTATCAATGGCAAATGGTCATCCCAAATACCTCTAAAGTTGATCACACACGCCCTCAATATATCCTCCAATGTCTGAATGATGCACTCTGCCTGTCCATCTGTCTGAGGATGGAAAGAAGTACTGAGCTTTACCTGTGTGCCTATGCTCTTCTGGAAGGATCTCCAGAAATGCGAAGTGGACTAAGCTCTTCTATCCTAAATGATAGACAAAGGAATCCCATACCACCTCAAAATCTCATCAATGTAGAGTCTCACATAATCCTCGTCCCTGTAAGTAGACTTCACAGAGATAAAGTGGCAGACTTAGTCATCGTGTCCACAATAACCCATATGGAGTCATGTTGTCTTCTAGTCATTGGAAGACCAACCATGAAGTCCATGTTAATGGCCTCCAATTTCCAAGTCGAAACCTCAACCATCTGAGTGAGACTACTAGGTTTAAGGATCTCCTCCTTAACACGCTGACAATTAGGACACTTGGTCACATATTCAGGAATGCCCTTCTTCATGCTATCAGACCAATAGATATGCTTGAGGTCATGATACATCTTGGTGGAACCTGAAAGTATTGAATACTTGGAACCATGGGCCTCTGAAACAATCTTGGTCCACAAAGCATCCACATCTGGTACACACAGCCTGTCATGGTACCTAAGTATGTCGTCACTTCCCAAAGCAAAGGACTCATTCATCTTAATCAGCACTGAGTCCTTCAACTCCATCAACACAGGATCAAGATGCTGACCCTTCTTGACTTCAACTACCAAGAATGATTCAGAACTAGGATAAACTGAAACACCCCCACTAGTAGATTCCATTAACCGCACACCCATTCTGGCCAGTTTGTGTACATCCTTCACCAACTTCTTCTTCCCATGATCAATGTGGGTTGTACTCCCCATGCTCCACCTACTCAAAGCATCAACTACAACATTTGCCTTCCCTGGATGGTAGTGGACACTCATGTCATAGTCCTTCAACAGCTCCAACCATCTCCGCTGATGTAGATTCAACTCCCTGTGTGTGAACACGTACTGGAGACTCTTGTGGTCTATGAACACATCCACATGCACCCCGTACAAGTAATGCCTCCACAGCTTTAATGCAAATACCACAATTGCCAACTCTAGGTCGTGAGTGGGATAATTCTTCTCACAAGACTCCTCCCATTAGAACTCTGTTTTCTTATTAGTCAAAGCTGTCAGTGGGGAAGCAATGGGAGAAAAACCCTCCACAAACCTGCGGTAGTAACCAGCCAATCCTAGAAAGCTACGGATATCGGTGGGAGTAAGAGATCAGGTCAAGTTCTTAACAGCCTCAGACTTCCTGGGGTCTACCTTCACACCCTGATCGGACACAACATGACCCAGGAAGGTAACTGATCTAAGCAAGAATTCACACTTGCTGAATTTGGCATAAAACTGATGTTGTCTAACTACCTGCAAGGTTAGTCTCAAATGTTGTTCATGCTCTTCCTTTGTCTTAGAGTAGATGAGGATGTCATCAATGAATACTATGACAAAAGAATCAAGGTATTCACGAAATACTTGGTTCATGAGGTCCATAAATGCAGCTGGTGCATTAGTGAGACCAAATGAAATGACTAGGAGCTCATAATGACCATAACGGGTACGAAAGGTTGTCTTTGGGATATATTCATCCCTAATCCTAAGCTGATGATACCTAGAACGAATATCAATCTTCGAGAAGAAACTAGACCCTTGGAGATGATTAAATAAGTTATCTAATTCTAAGAAGTTGATACTTGTTCTTTATAGTGACTTTGTTGTGCTGCCGATAATCGATACACATCCTAAGGTTTCCATCTTTATTTTTCACAAACAACACTGGATCACCCCAAGGGGATATGCTCGGCTGGATGAAGCCCTTATCAATGAGATCTTTTAACTGCAGCTTCAACTCTTTGAGTTCAGCTGGAGTCGTTCTGTAGGGAGGAATTGGAATTGGTTTGGCATCGGGATCTAGGTCGATCCCAAAATCAATCTCTCGAAGGGGAGGGACTCCAGGAAAATCATCTGAGAAAACATCTTGTAACTCATTCACTACAGACACAGAGTCTATAGAAGGAATGTCATGATCTAGATCATTGACACCTACAAGATTGCATAACAATCTCTTGGACATCATTTTATTAGCTCTTAGGTTCGAAATCAAGGGACTTGAATGACTCAAATTGAACCTCTCTCAGACCATCTCGACTTCATTAAGGAAACAAATATCACAACCCTATTACAACAATTTATGAAGTCATAACATTTATGGAGCCAATTTATACCAAGTATAATATTGAAGTCATTCATGGGTAACTCAAGAAGGTCTTCACTCATATTATTTCCACATAATACTATTGGGCAGTCCTTATGAACCCTATAAGCTCCTACATTTTCTCCTAACGGAGTAGTAAGTATGATGGGATCATGCAAAACCTCAGGTAGTGTTTTAAAAGTAAGAGCAAGAAAGGGAGTCACGAAAGAAAGTGTAGGCCCTGGATCAAGTAAAGTAAACAGAGGTTGAGAAAACTTGCAGCATACCTGTGACACAATCAGCAGACTTCTCTCACTAGAATCTATTCCTCTTAAGAGGTTCGGCTGCAGAAGCATTTTGGGGATTAGGCCTAGGCTGAGCATTAACTCCATCCTGAACTCTATTCTATGGACAGTCCCTGACCATATGTCCATTTTTCCCGCAACCAAAGCAGGAATTTGTGCCTAGTCTGCACTCTCCACTGTGAATACGACCACACTTGCCACATTCTTTCTGGGATGCTTCACATTACCTCCATTGCCCTTCTTGGGTTCGGGTTTACCTCCTCTAGGTGTTGCACTCCATTGAGAGTAAGGATTCCCTTAAATCTGATGCCCTTTCTTAAAATTTGGGTTGTTCTCGCACTCCGAAAGTGCTCCTTCCACCACCACTGTTGGGACTTGTGTAGTCAGCATGATTAGGCCTCCTGACCTCATGGACTCTTCTCTTCTTCCTACTGTCCTCAACCTGATGGACATGCACAATCATCCTAGACAAGTCCATGCTGTCATGAAGCATCGCAGCCTGACATTGCTCCTCCAAGTCCTCTGACATTCCTATAAGGAACCTGCTCATCTCGTCCCTGATGTTCGACACAAAGGAAGTGGCATACCTTGACAATTTTACGAATTTCAGGGAATACTCTCTAATAGTCATTCAGCCCTGCTTAAGGTTGATGAACTCCTCAACCTTAGCCTCTCTCATCTCTCTGGGGAAGAACCTCTCAAGAAAGGCTATCTTAAACAACTCCAATGTGATCGGACCTCCACCCAATGCCCTACTATCCTGTCGTATCTTGCACCAAGCTTGTACAACCTCCTTCAGCTGGTACAAAGCCAGCTCAGCTTTCTCAATCTCTGTGTCCCCCATTGCCACCAAAACCTTCTGGACCTCCTCCACGAACTCTTGAGAATCCTCTAAAGTCTTAGATCCTATAAATATTGGCGGATTCATCCGCGTAAAATCTCACAACCTGTTCGCCATGTTGTGGGCCGGTGGGTTCTCCCGCTAAACCTCCTGTCTGTTGGCCTGGGATTTCATTGCTTGAGCCTGCACAGTGATGGCTTGAGCCATCTATCCCAAAGCGGTCCGCACCTCCGCATCAGTCAACCTAGATGGGTTAACTGGAATTGCCACTCTTGCAGCTGGAGCCTGGGGCAGAACTTGGTTGCCCCCAGTAGCTGCTCCTACTCTTCACCAACCAGCGTTCAACCTTGCGTTTATTCTCTGAAAAAAATAGGAATTGATGTTAGCCGCGCTCATAACACCAAGAAATCAGACATTAAAGAAAGCACGATAAGATCAAAAGAAGGGAAATTTCCTACACATCATGCAGTCTCTAATTCATGGTAGTGGTGTGGTGCACTTCACTACCATAACTTAGAAACTACCCGATGTGGTTGATGTGAACATTATTATCCTTAGAATTAAACCTAATGTTCTGATATCATGTTTTTCATGACCGAGGTCTAGACCATATCCGAAACCGGCGTCGTTGACCTCTGGAGGTCGCAGACAAGCCTACATATGTCCTCATTACATCGTATAGGTTAATTTTTGTAGAAAATTTAAAACTTTTGTTTGCTTTTAAGTATACATAGACTTCATAGTAAGAATTGCATTATCACATCAGTTCACAACTACCATCTAATAATAAAATATTCAAATGAAGGAAATAGTTCATAATTGCATTAATATAAAGTTGCCAAAATGGCACCAATAAAACGTCTAAAAATAAGTAAGAAAGAAACCCTAGTGGAATATCCTCCACTAGATCATACCTACGTCTAATCTAGAATATAAAATATAAGCATATTCAAAAGCATGAGGGCCTACCAAGTACGGATGAATGCTCCATGTCCGGATAGTTTCAATGTAGTCTCGTAAGCTCTAGCGTCCACCTGCACCTGCACCTAAAAGTAGAGACTTGTATCGAATTAGTACACACTTGTACTAAGTATGGGTGTATACAAGTACACACCAAGGACATGCATGATTAAGAATAGCTCTCTCCTAACAATATGAATTATGGAAAGTCAAGTCAGATGGACTTGCCCAATCATATGCATTATCATTCTTTTCATATTGCACACATCACATAACATATTTCATATAGCCCACACATATATCGCACATCATCCATTATATACCATGAGACCTTGGAATCACGAACTTAACATTAGGACTTCCCAACTGAGGGCTCAACATATATGTATATGTGTATATATATATGTGTGTGTGTGTGTATATATATAAATACATGTATATGTTAAGAAAAGCTTTGTATGCTTGAAACAAGCACCCAATGCCTTGTATGCATGGATCAATAGCTACTTACTTAATTTGGGGTTCAAGATAAGTTACAATAAGAAAAAGTCCCAATAGAAACAAAGATTTGAGCTTCTTAGAGCTAAGCTTAGAGTATCCAACAACACTTCCATCAAGAGAAAGTGATGTCTTCATATTTTTTAGGAGCTTTTGGATTGTTTTGTTGTAAAGTTGAAGAATTCAGACGATAATTGTAATTTTATGGTTAGTTTTATTCAAGCTTAATATAAGAAACCACGTTTCAGGATTTAAGGGATTCGACAGAGTTTATACGGTATAAAATTTTATTCTATGAACAATTAATCAGCTCTACTTTCTTCACATTTCCTCTCTCTTTTCATGTTTGTCTTCTCTTTCCCTCCTTCAATACTTCATCTTCTAAGACCAAAATGGTATGCAATCCATAACGTACTTTATATGGGTTAAAACAATCTTATCGAGCACGGTTTCGTAGATAAATCAGCTTGACTATGAAGAAGTATAGCAACAAAGTAATTTATACTATACTTTCTTCCTAAAACACAATTTGATATAATACAAAATGACAACGCTAACCATATACATAGATAACATGATAACTAAAAAACTGAATTTTTCAATGTGCATCTTGTTTAACAAATGGAGAAGCAAGCAAGTACAAACTGTTTTTCCTTGATGCAACATTACCAAAGTTGACAGACATATCCAGTTGTTGAGGAGTAACTCCATTCACAAGTTTATAATCAAAATGACAAAGTTACTGAGCTAGACATAACTCCATACTTGCGATACTAAAGTTCATGTTTGGACAAATTCTTCTACCAGCTCCAAATGGTATTAATTGAAAATGATTTCCACCTACATCAAGTGGACTTCCATTGAATCTCTCTGGCTCAAATTTCTCAGATTCTTCCCAATATTCAGAATCCCTCCAAAGTGCCCACGTATTCACAATACCTATTATTTTATTGGGTATAGTGTATACATTAATCTCGCATTGTTGTGTGGATTCTCTGGGAATTGATAAGGGTAAGGGTCCTGCAGGGTGAAATCTTAGAGTTTGTTTAACAACCATTTTCAGGTATTTTAGTTTTTTAAAATCAGTTTGATCAATTGTTGCCTTTCTATTGAAGGCTTCTCTAACTTCAGTTTGTGCTTTTCTCATCATGCTTGGATTCTTCATCAGTTCTGACATAGACCACCCTAATACTGTTGATGATGTTGCACTGCCAGCCACAAACATTTCCTATACATAATCCAAGTTACGTGTTTTACTTTCATTTTCAGTCAATACCAAAAAGAATAATACATTTCTATATAGACCAACTTTGCGATGCAATTGAAGTAATTTTCTGTTTGTCCCACTAATAAAATGAAGAATCTTCAAGGAGGGGAACAAATCTACAACATTAAAAACTCCAGCAAATGATGCAACTTGTTTCATTAACATAATACTGATTCTTGATCCTTACAAGTCCTCCCAATTGAAGCTCTACAAATTATTGCACTTGTTAGTAAATACATCTTTTCACTAAAATTAATTGGTCTTCCGTACATGTCCTTAATTATATTAACAAGAATATTAGTTTCATCAAGCATCATTGGAAAAAATGATGTAACATTTTTGGTACTAAGAAGTTCCATTACACAAATCTTTCTTATTTGTTTCCAGTAATCACCATACCGAGAAAAATCAATGTCCTGAAAATTGTAGCACATTATTTTCGCAACGCTAAGTTGTGGCCTATTAGCAAAGGTGATGTCGTGAGTTATCATAATTTCTTTAGCTAATTGAGGCGATGAAACGACTATTTCTGAGCTTTCGCCGAGTTTAAGGTGCATGAGGGGACCATGTTTGGTTGCTAAGTTTGCTAGAGATATGTGGGGCAAGTTTCCATCTGAAGAAGGTTTCCTATAATTGGCAACTTGCATGGACCTGGACCCAATTTTGTTGGGAAAGACAAGGCACTAACAAAGAATGCTTGACAGGATAACAGCGGAAGAACACCCAAGTCTATACTTTCCCTTCTCGATTTGAACCAAGAGGAGACAAACAACCACAAGCAATATGATAGTAAGGCAGCAAGTAATTGAACTAAACAAATATAACAAGACAATAATAAACCAATCACACAAGACACCAAGATTTACGTGGAAAACCCTTTGATGTGAAGAGTAAAAACCACGGGACCAAAATATCCACTATAATCACCAAGAGTTACAATATTGTTCTCCAAAATTTGCCACAAAACAAGTGCCAAACAAAAAGCAACAACAAAATAAGATTGCACCAAATCTAGAGAATTAAAGGAGCAAAATCACCAATTTCGCAGCTACTGTTCACGACAGCAAAACTGAAGCTGCAGGCCACCAAATCAAACTCTTTCAGTTCCTAATTAAATATTGAGATGAATATAATATGCTGTCCAAAAATCAGCTCCATCGGACAAGAAACGAAGCGGGAATTGCAATTTGAAGTTGGCTGTTATGGCTGAATTTTTGACTGCGAAAAACTGCTCTCTTTTTTTCCTTTGTGGCTGCTAAAAAACTCTTTTTATATCTGAAAATAAGACCTACATAGGCTTATATTTGCCTCATAAGAATGGGCTTATGGGAAAAAATAGGTTGGTCCAAATTGGACTTTTATTTATCCACATAGGAAGGGAAAAAGGTCCATAACCCAACAATTCTACCCCTCACGACTATGTGGAGGAGACCGCCATCCCGGCGACCATGCAACAATCTTCAAACATCCCTCTTGGCAAGGCTTTAGTCATCATATCGGAACCATTGTCATTTGTATGAATCTTTTCAAGCTCAAGCAACTTAGAATCCAACACATCTCGAATCCAATGGTATCTCACATCAATGTGTTTAGACCGACCATGGAACGTAGAATTCTTGTCAAGATGTATAA